GGACCTCTCCTCGGTCACCTCATAGGGTGACTGCAAGCAAGAACGGTGGCCTCGGAGGTGGCTGGCACCAGGGGATATGCATTTACAGCACTGGAGACTGCAAAGTCGGTGAAAATAAAGAAGTCGGACTTCTTTTCGTATGGACGTTGCCATCACGCTTTCACGCCCATGCAAAAGGTGTAATGATTTACCCCTGGATCACCTTTGGAGCTTCTTCATCCTACCTTCCCGAGGCAGAAAGACACTGCTCTGCAGCACCCGCTTTCCTTGTGTTATAAAGCAGATGTTGTGGCTGCAGAAGCAACTCTGAGTATCTGGCTTCTCTCCTGCATTGCAAGGAATAAGCTCCTACCAGTCTCCCACGTGCATTTCAAGCATCTGTAAGTCATCCCCATGCCACCGCAGGTCCAGCAGGGCAGGAGGAGGGGGATGAGTGGTGGCAGGAGGCAGAAGCGCTGGAGCAGAGCCCTGCAGCCCCAGCGAGCCCATGGCTTGGAGGGCACTCTGTTCTGGCGGCGGCTGGTTTCACAGAGATCATGAGTTTAAGCACATATCTAATTGAATTGCAGATGTCTTTTCTGATGGCTATCTGGTAGCACAGCTTTGATTAAAGCAGCAGCGGAGAGGCAGAACAGGCTGGTTTTCAGTAATAAAAATAATGGAAGGAAGAATGACCATTTACTGCAGCCTCCATGGGGAGCATAATGCAGGCAGACACTTAAAACAAGATTTTGGGGGCAGATCTGAGAGCTCAGCTTCCAACTCCTAAAGATCCTGAATGTATGTTGGACTGGAAAGCAGCTGACAGTAATTTAAATAATCCACAAATAAGCTCATCTCCCTCCCTTCCCATGCTCCCTGATGAACAACAGATCTGCTTTGCTTTCGGAAGGCCATAGAGGTTTGTTCTGCTTGACTTTGGTTTTGGTTTCTTTTTCTTTTTTTTTTTTTTTTTTTTTTTTTTAAGGGCTGACAAATTTTATTCGCTGCCCTTTTGTAACTTGAAAGATTCAGGTGGATTTGCCCTGAGCTCGCACTTGCCAGATCTCAACCTCTCACTGTTTTACAGTGTCTTTAGAGCTCCAGAGAGGGAGAACTTGAACAGTCCTCAGTCCACCCAAACTGGAAGACTGTAAATTGAAGTGTTATGACCTTTTTTTCTTGTTGTTTTTTTTTTTTTTTTTTGCCTGTAGCCACTTTCTCATGACAACTTGAACCGCATCCAATATGTATTACCACATACACATTACTGAAAAACCACCCCCACCCAACACAGCTGAAGAATCAAAGTTAAACTTCAGGATGACCTAAGAACCTGGCTTAGCTCAGGAACAAGGTTTTTGAGAACCGTTTTCCCTTTTCTTCAGCTGGCCATTATGCTGTACCCAAATTCCCGTTGTGATACATTTTGGGGGCTTCTTGGCCACGTCCTACCCAAGCTGTCTTGCCTCTTGGCCCAGCACAACTCTCCTGGGGGCATCTCAATGAGCAACCACCACCTGGGGCTTCATTTCAAGGAAAGTCATCGCAGTTTTGCTCATTTTCCCTTTTGAACTGCTGCCCTTTTCCAATGTATTTACAATGTAAGGAAGTTAGTTTATTCATGGTTTGGCTTTTAACTTCATTGCTGGGCTTGGCTTGGCCTCTGTTGGAAATTGGACCCCGATGCAGGAGGGCAGTTGCCAGTGTCTGCTGGAAACTCCTTGCCACGGGATTTTCAAATGCGTCGTTTGTTGGCCTAACTCAGTACATACTAAATGCGGTCGGAAGAGTCTGCTTACTCATCGCACGAAAAGGATCGGGCCAGTGGCAGGTGTTTTTCAGAGTTTCCTCAAACAAATCTTTCAAATGCCAAAGCTCATTCCAGACTTCCCAGGAGTTCCCTCTCGCAGCCACCCTCCGTTTCATATCACACATCTGAAGTAACGCTGACCAGCTAACGGACGGAATTGGGCTAATTTCCACCTTAGGAAAAGCCTTGAATTTATACCTTGTTTCAGGTTCAACCCAGCAGAAAACCCTCCAGAAAAGTTCAAATACATAATCCCAAAGAGAGGAGAAAAGCAAGAAATAACGCAACATGTGCAAGACGTGAAGTCTTACTAAAGTACTCAAGACACTTAACGAGAGGTTTTGCAAATGGCACATATTAAGCTAAACAAGCATGCCTTCAGTCAGGGAGCTCAAGTACTGCTATTTCACCCTTCAAGGAATAAATAATAATTAAAATTCTTTGTATTGAGATTAATGCATTCACTGTAGCTACAGAAATCAAGGGTGGTAATTCCCAAATAGCCTCACTGGGTTCTTTCTCCAGTTGAAAGATGGGAAAGCTGCCTCCCAGGCACTGATTTATTCCATAAGAATTAAGGAGAGGCATCTCTAAGGCACTGCCTTCACTCCGCTGCTGCTGGGAGGTTTTGTCTGGGTGCTCTCTGGACAGTTTTCAGGCACATAATGGAAGAATATTTCTCTTCCCCAAGTATTTACAGAGCCCTCAGAATTTGGACAATCTGGACTCGCCTTAGAATTATTTGCCAAAAATTACTGGTTTAAAAAATAATTTTTACGAAGCCACAAAAAGGAAAAAATAGCAACTTGGTCTCCGTGATAATTTGCTTAGATCAGTTTATCATACCGCTGTTAAAAATAAAGCAAGCGTGCAGCTAAATGTCAACAAGAAGTTAAACGGCAAATAGCTTGAATATAGTCTGAAGAGTTACTGAATTGGAGATACGCAGAGAATAAAAAGCCTGACATATAAAAGACAGACTGCATTTAATTTGATTCTCACTGTGGATGAAAACCTGAGCATTTCAGAGTTTGTACAAAGAAAAAGTCTGGTAGAAAAAAGACAACACTCTTGACTATTGATAACATTTGATCAGTGCTCTGAAAAATGATTTGCAAAAGGCAAAAATCAAAACAATTCATTCCAGAAGTATTACAACACAACCGGCTGAAACATCTACTCTTTGTTTGGGTCTCAAGTGCAATTTTAGTCAATTTGAAACCATTTCATGGGATTTCAGGGAGGCTGCAGTTTTGACAGAGCTATTGCTAAAATCATCTCAGCAAGAAAACGTTGCTCTGCCTAACTTTAGCAATTAATAAACAGCTCCAAAAACCGGGTCCATAGTTTTAAAACTACTCAGTACCTAAGACTAAATGATCAGATTTGCCAACATTGAAGCACAGCATACTAAAATTATCAATGTATTACTCAACCAAAAACCTTCAGACTTCCAGATACTGTGTTAAGAACAGTTAAAAAAAAAATAATCTTGGATTTAGAATATGTTCAGCCTGTTCTTCAAACAAAGTAAAAGAAATAGACCCAGAGGTCAATTGCTCTTTTAAAGAAAAAATAATTCTTCGCAAATTTTGGTCAGTGAAGCAGGTGAAAAAGCCAATCTGCATGTTAAGACTGACTTTTTTTTTTATATATACTCAATGTTATGGCCTGGAAGTGCTAAAGAGACATTCAGAATATAAAGGCAACTGGAGACAATTAAGCCATTTAAAAAGCACCAGAATTAGCATTCCTTTTGTCGGATCCAAATAATTCAAGTGCTGTTCTGCCACAGAGGCTATCATCAATTTCTAATTTTAGCTTAATCCACAAAAAAAAAAAAAAAAAAAATCTCGCCTTTCTCTCTGGCGTTTCCTCATTAAGAACACTCTTAAATTATACACCGAAATCTCAAGAACACAAACTACAAATTAAAGTTCACACTCCCACAGAGACACACTCATGCATGCACTTTGATATGCTAATTCCAATAAAGGTAATGCAACTAGTTGTGCTGTGATACAGCTAAGCAGTGCCCGGACTGCTGCATGACGAGTACCCAAAAGCAAGAATTTAGCTATAAATCACACAAAAAGGCGATCTGTCCTGCCTTTGAACCCTCAGCCTTCTTGTTTCCCCTGCTACATCCCACTACTCTCAATAACATGAAGTTCCACAAGAACGGAATCTCACGATTTTCACTACATGGAGTAAGCAGTCATAGAAGACACTATAAAAACCATTGTAATTAACCCTTACATTTTAAGTCAAATTAATTCCTTGTATTCAAGTTTTAGGACCTTGCTTTCAAGGTCAAAGTACTATCCTACTACTGAAACTACTGACCATTTTATCTCAGTAATTGTGAATACTCCAAGCATCCAAGACTCACATCCTCAACACCAGCAAACAAAATCTACTTTAAAACTGCCAACTCCTTTGCTCCCCTGGTTGCGGGCTATCAGTCACACCCTATCTAGTCACTCACCTAGAAATTTGTAGGTTTAAGATTCAGTTGGATTTTTAATCACCATTACTAACGAGGAAGGAAATACTTTTTTTTTTTTTTTTAAACTGAAGGGAAACTTTTATCTTCACACCGAGCTGGAAATTCTTCTCAACAATTTCAGAAGGCAGAATGAATACTTCACGCCAAGTTCACACGATTTTAACTCACAAAATAAGCATGACATAATCAAGATAAGAGCTGTGGGCGTGAAAATGAAATTCTTGGACTTTTGAGATTTCAGCCTGGTCTCATCACTGGGAGTTTTTGAGAGATGGTGGTGCCACAGCTGACCTGCTGGGAAAGCCGTAACGCTCCCTGCCTTTGTCACCCTGAATTAAGGGTGTTGGAGCTTCTACCAGCATGGGATGATGTGCACCCAGGCCAGGGCAGTTTGCCACTAGGGAACAACTGTTGCATGAGATTTATACATTCAACGGCTGATCATATACATAAAAACAAGGAGCTTTGCTTAGTCAGGCCCACTACTCCCCCTTCCTTCAACTGACTTCTCGCTCACTGCATTTTTAAGAAACTGTGGAAAACAGAAGCTGCATTTTCAGCTGAAACTAAAGCTCTGAAGCCGACAAGCAGGATCTCGCACCCAGACCTATGCTTCCTGACCTCACTGCTCCCGTAAAACTACACTGCAACATGTTGAAAGTGATTGCAGTTAACATTAGTACAATATACAAACAGTGATTTATCAACATTGTATGCTTTATTGAAAGTTGACAAGTGCAACAGTTAAATACATTGACGTGTTACAACTGTTTAGAGAACATGCACAAAAACATATGCATACTACTATACAGATCATATGCAAAAATCCATACTGGGAAATCCAATTTTATTTATTTTTTTTTTTAATTCTTTGCTAGCAGGGTTTGATAGTTTTTGGAGTGGTTTTTCCTGTCTTGAACCAAACTACAATGAACAAAGATTTACTTCAAGATAATCAGCAGCCAGGGAACTTCAGAAGTTACACAAACAGCATAAATCTGCCAAATTCTGAACAGTTGCGTAGGTGCATTCTTATTTATGTAGCTTAAAAAAAAAAAAAAAGACTTTCCAAACTTCTTCAGATCAGCCAATGAAACAACTAAACTTCAATCTGTACAACCTAAATAGTTACAGTTTTCTATTTTACAAAGTAATTACACTAAATACACAAATATACAGTAGGCAAATAACCTTCATTGTAATTATCCTATGACCCAACAGTACGTCACCTACCTGCTTTCTATATATAATACAGCTTTATGCACCTGTCCACTGCTTCAGAAAACGGTGCAAATATTTGCACTTAAGGTTTCAGGTGACAATTAAGTGTTAAACACTGAATTTACCTTTCTCCCTCTTCCTCTTAAGATCCTATGCACCAGTCCTCATTTTGGAACCCCAGTGCACTATGGGGCATTGAGCCATCACTTTTTACTCCAGTCTATTTCTTCATATTTCCAAGCTCGAAAAGCACTTGTATCAGTTATATCACTGGATGAGTGGAAGATTTAAAAACAAACTGAAAAAATTCAGGCATGCAGCTTCGTTTCTCAGCCATTTGCAGAAGCTGCTCAAGTCCCCAGTGTACTTGTGCTAATTCTCTGGAAGAAGTTTATTTTATTCAACCAACCTAAGAACAAAGACTCCTTCAAGCCAAAGGGGGAAGGGAAGGAAGAGAGAGACAGATGAGTGCGGGGGGAGAAGCCTCTCCTCATGTGTGCAAGGCATGGAGTCCTCAGTCTGGGTGGCAATGTGCACTGAAATGGATGAAGGGTGGCTGTGGCGGATTCCCGCTAGTCCTTCTTGCTCTGGGCAGTCCAGAGGCCAGTGATCACGATGGCGATGACATCTTGAACTACGCTGAAGGCCCTGACCCCTGTGATGCCGGCTGAGCAGGCTGCTGTGTTGTCCCTTGTGACTGGGAAGAGGAAGGTGGGGAACCAGTCTGCAGCTGCGCTTGGAACTGGGCAAGCTGCTCCGGGCTGGCAAGTGTTTTTAGCAGAGTGTTTTCTTGCTCCAGCTGGGAGTTCTTCTCTATCAGCTCTTTGATTTGCTCTTTGAGGACCTCCACTTCCTCCCTCACCGCGTACATCAAGTGACTCTTTACCAGATCCTAAAACACAGAAGAAGACAGCGTGCGTGTTAAGAAAGCAGCCCACTGCCAGGCCCAGAGTTCCCACCCAGCTCGTCCGGAGACGCAACGCATGCATTTCCGCGGGGAGCCGGTGCGACCCCAGCTCTGCTCGGGCGCAGAGGAGCACCCCAGCCGGGGCCACCAGCCCCCTGCCACATGACCAGGGACAAGCCACACAGCCACTAGCCCCTTTGATGGAGGGAGTCAGGCTGGGTAAAGCCCT